AGGTACAAAAAGATTAGCAATTTTTAATGTTGATTTATTACAAAACATCAGGGATATCTTTTAATCGTTAATTTGTATCATTTTTGCAATAAACCTAGCACCTGTAGGTGTATTTTTGCAATTAACCTGTAGGTGGAGATATACATATTATTATCTCGTTCTATATATTATCTCGAGCGAGAATGACCGAGTATGCGCATTGCGGCTCGTTTTTATAGGACGCATTGTTCACGCACGTGTTTAAATATTGTTAGGTTAAGTGTTGAATTTTCTGGTTGTGTTTATATAATACGATACTTCAGGTTATTTCTTAACACTAACTATCAAAACTTTAATTATAATCCATTAGAATCTAATTTAAATCAATCAATTTTTTTTATTAAGTGAGGTAGTTTGTAGCTGCTTCGATAACCTCGTACATATTGATTGATTTTTTATTTTTTTTTAACATCTCACACTCGGTCATCTGCTATATTTTGGTAACCACACTACTGATAAACATACGATGTTAATAAATACATAAATATTACAAAAAGTTACATCCAGAAACAGGTATTGTAAAAAAATACTCACTCCGAAGGGATTGGAGGTGTTAACTTCTGCAAAAGGTACTCCAAGAAACATTGTGTAGTCACCATCGTCAGCTCTTAGACCTTTTATAAAGCCAATATCAGTTTCAACTAATAGATCTTTTATTTCGCTGTTAACTGTACAAACTAAAAATATTAAAATAACACATCTTTCTGCTAACATAATGTACACAACTACAAATGACTCTCCACGAAGTTTTACTTTGATTATATTTTAATTATCAGTTATGACAGAGTTATATGTATAACAGAGTCCACACAAGTAACCCGTTATCTGGAGCTGTCATGTCAAAGTTTGTTTTGATAATAGGTCTACGAAACCTATGAAATTCCCGTTTTGTATGCAATAAGTGAAAGTACTTATTTTTTCAAACTTTTTTATTTCTGTTATTCGAAGTAATCACCCATGCAATCGACGGATCTTTGCCAACGCATTGGCAGTTTATTGATGCCCTTCTTGTAAAAATCAGCTGGACGGGAGGCAACAAACTCTTCAAAGGCATTTTGTACTGCCTCTCGGGAATTGGATTTTTTACCCACTAAAAAGTTGTCTAAATTTTGGAAAAAGTAATAGTCGGTAGGTGCAAGGTCTGGTGGTCACATCTGCAACCAGCTTTGGTCAATCGGTCGTCCCCACTGCTCCTTCACGACAACGCGCGACCCCATACTGCGCAACAGACAGTCTCCAAGCTGAAGATTTGGTTTGGTTGAACGCGCTGATCGTAGGAACTCTTGGTTGGAAAAATATTGTAGTTTTCGATACCTCATTTATCAGAGAAGGCTACAGGCTATAGAAAATTATGGTAAGACCAGCAGGCGCAGAACATCAATGAAAAATGTTGCAAAAACGGGGAAAATTTCTTCAATTTCAGATACTCTGACCATGTTGTGCGGGTCGGCTAGAGCATAATAAAGCACCCGGACGTATTATACAACCAACTATAATTTAAATATTTCTTATTAATAACTTTTAACTGAAACTCTTACTCTTGTATCATTATGACGAAGTCCCAATAGATGTGCAGTGTTGCAAAGCAATTTTTGAAATAAAATTTTGGTCCCTCAAAAATTAAAAATATATATTTGTAAACTGTATTCTGATACTATTCGAGAAATTCCTACAGCTCTATCAATAATGGCCGAAAATGTGTTAGCTAGATCAATCTAGATCGTCTCATCAATAACTGCATTCGATTCATCTTTAATCTTCGTAAGTATGACCATATCTCCGGTTTTCGTTCCCAATTAAGATGGTTACCTATTCGTCAACGCAGGAAAATGTGCGCTCTCACAACTATGTACACTTTCCTAAATTCCCCTTCCCCTCCTACTTATTTAACAACACAATTTCAATTGTTATGCAACAACCACAACAGAAACCTTCGTTCGGCCAACAATCTTCTTCTACTCTGTCCTTCTCACACCACTGGGTTTGTCGGCTCTTCGTTCTTCGTCCAGGCTGTCCTCTTATGGAATGCGCTTCCTCACGAAGTCAGGATGGCTACAAATCGGTACTCTTTTAAGACGAAAGTGAAAGAGCTATTGCTGAGCGAAATGGCAGATTCAACGAGCTCCTAGTTCATCGGCTAAATTTTTAATTTTTTCATTTTTCTCATATATATATGTGTATGTATATATATATATATATTTATGAGTATGTATATGTATATATATGCGTATGTGTGTGCTATTACGACGTATACACCAAATTCCAAAATAGTTGGTATTTAACAAAACCACTATCGTTTATACCCTACCATAAATGCACCTACCTCATTCTTTCTCAGCACCGCCCAATCGGTCGACTGGCAGAGAATGCCTTAGGCATTAAGTCCGCCGATGCATGTACTTGTGCAAAAAGTTAAAAAATAAATAACTAAAATGCTTCATATTGCAATAATTGCATTATTGCCGGAGGAGTGTGGAGTGATAATGTTTAATTGCACAAACGTGGTCAGGATATTGTCGTTGTGCTTATTCTAAGCCTGTTAACCATGATTGGCTTGGACGGAATAACAGCAGCACCATTTTGTCTTTCAAGTATTATTCAAGGATTGTTATTAATTTTAAGCATACGATGTAAATGACAAATAAAGTTATTTTTATTCTTATTATGTTTTAAACAAAAAAGACGTGTTTGAACAGCCCTGACTGTTTATGTGTTATTTGTGGAGAGTATAAGAGGTATTTACTTTTGAAGATGGAGATTTTTGAATCCTGTACAACAATGGTAAGAATTCGTCTCAGTGGGTGGACCCGGGTAAAGCACCAAATCAGTGCGTTAAAAAAATAGCCAATTTTTTTATGTTTTAAAATTGTCTTAGGTAAAGGAATATTATTATTATGTTCTGAAATTTCCGTTTCGATTTGGATATTTATTGCGAAGTATTAAGAGGGACATTACATTCATTTAAATTATTCTGTTACCTAATTTTATAGAAATGTTTCTCTTGGTTTTAAACAATAATTGTATATATTTTGCACGCCTTAGAGTAGAATCACTTGAAACATAACTACATATTTCATAAAACCATTGTAACAGTGTTTTCTGCAGGAATACATTTTATTTGATTTGACTTCATTCATTTTTTTTTTCAAAACCCACATACGGTGTGGGTGTGTCATGCTTTTTTTCACTGGCCGTTCAACAGGGAAGTGCACGATATCAGTACGGCTACTAAAACTAAAATCCAATCTAATCAAAATTAATGAATCGCCTAGTATAGAATGTTCCCTGATGAAAGAACTACCTAATATGTGATTACTAAAGTTGAATATAAGCTGATAACTTATACCAATGTTCTGTAACACAAAAAAAAAGTTTTCCAGAACTTCTGTACCTATTAGAATTTTCGCCTGTAAAATGCAAGGTGCTATCAAACCGAATTGATCGCACAGCTTCTGGAAATCGGATAAAATATTTCGTTTAGTAACAGAAATCGCATTTGGGGGTAGTGTTAGTCTACATTCAAATTGAAGACTCTTATATAATGGCAAAAAGACTGAGCTGGTGGTTTTTAAAACACGCAATACATCTGGTAACGTGCCTCCTCTTTATTTGAATGGCACAACGCTGAAGATAGTAGACGAATTTGTTTATCTTGGACACCACATAACTTCTCATTTAAATGTTGATTTAGATATTGGTGGGGAACGGTGCTCAATACTGTTCTGCTGTCTCTTCGTTATAGTACGGCGTGATGATATCAACAATATAAGAGATATTCATAGTTTTAAAACACAATAATTTGCTTTATTCGTGCAAAAATCTTCACCCATCATCACATCAACAGTCTTTAATAGTCCACTGCTGGACATAGGCCTCTCCTTAGAAAGAAGGTTTTGGCCTACTATACCACGCTGGCCAGACGGGTTGGTATAGTGTTTGTCAAGTTTTCCTTCTTTTTGCAGTGCTGGTGTCCTATCTTCACCCAACGGCCCGTTATCTACGATGGAATGCGATCCTCTGTAGTTCTCTTCGGCCGTTTTGCGGTTTCTACAAGTAAATTATTAGAATACCCCGGTATATAGATCCGGCTCGATTATGTTTTGACAATTAACAATCTTCTTTTTACAATCTTCGATAGGTGTATAGGCGTGTATAGGGTTTTTAACAATTTAAACCAACGTGTTTCTTTGATCAACATTAATTTGATACTAAACTGAACATACATGTTTTGAATATGGATGGCGGTAAGAGGCTAAGCTTTGAGGTATAGAGAAGTGGACACTCAAAAAATAATATAAAATTCACACATTTCACACACGGCTGTCTGATACCAAACTACGCAGAGCCTGTACTGTACTATGGTAACCACACTGCTGATAAATATACTTATATATTTCTGAATACACACATTTTATAGATAAATTACACCCAGACACAGAAGAAATGACCATGCTCATCACACAATTATTTGTTCTGGGTGGAAACCGAACCCACGACCTATGGCGTAGCAGTCAGGGTCACTAATCACTAGACCAACAGGCCAGGTAAATGTAATTAATGGATATCCAACAACATTTAAAACTTAAAACAAGTAAATTGACTAAACATATTTTGAATAAGAAAGTATCGAAAAAAAAATTGAGTATAGGAATATATTCTAAAATAAAATTTAAGATATGACATAGACACTCTGGAGATTTGCTATCAGTCGGGTCGATTAAAATGAAGAGACACATTCAGAGAAAGCTGCCCATGTCTAATTTAACTAAGATAAATGACGTGGGCTGCTAGATGACAATTTCATGAAACACTAACTTAAAATTGGCAGTTTTCAGGTCTAATGTTTGTCTAGGTTTACCCACGTATAATAAATAATGTAGAAAGTAATAAATACATTTTCTCTATTCTTTATGATTGATTTAGAAGTATCATTAAAAAAAATACAACAGAAACAAGGCACACTAAAGCTCTGTTTTAGAATAAGTTCGTTGTTTATATTTTTCGTCTTCTGAGTCTGCTTCATCAGGGTATGCTATGTGGAGATGATTATTGGCCCTGTAGAAAAGTTGCCAGAAAGCAGCTCGCTGATGGAAAGGTCTAGATTTCATTTCTAATTTCGTGTTAATATCTAAGTACGGAATTCCGGATTGCTTAGTAACTGGAGTCCATTGAATTGGTAAAAGATCTGATGTTTGCGGTACTGGATTACTGTAAATAATATTAATTAGTTTGTAACGATACATCGCAGATACTCATTAAATTGTTTTTTAATTTAAATTCAACTTACCCAAATTTAATAAAATTTGTCCAAATCAATGTAATTCGATCTATCATTTGTTGATCTTCTTGAGTGATCGAAAGATGTTTTAAATAGGAGAAATCAAACAAATAGCCCATATCATCACCATGTTGAGCACCGCCTTTTGTGGTATTCCATAGAAGTCGCACAAAATTTCTATGACCAATATATGAAAATACTTGAAAATATATGTTCCCGGCCTCATTATCTAAATACCTTTCAATAGTTTTATAAACCGGATAAAGGTAATGAATGTCAGAATCAAAATTAATTACACTTTCTCGAACTGCAGCGCTTGGTGGTTCATCTCCAAAATAAAATTGATGTACGATATTTGCCATACCCTCGAAATCATTAGTAGCATCAAAACACATAGAAATTATGTCATTAACGACATTCTGGTAATCTTCATCTTTCTCTGATGGATGATATCCACACTTTTCATCGATAGCGATACCAATTAGAATAGGCATATTTTTAACTTTGGGCATTATTCCTGTGCGCCAATTTTTCGAAATGAAGCTTTCAACACCATCAAACTGTTTTTCTACGCACGGTTTAAACTTGTATAATAACTTCGAATCCTCAGCAGCTGTTATTACTAGATGCGTGTCCAGTTTTGATAGAAAATCAATTGCTGCATTCGTGTCATTGGTAGGAAAACCTAAGTATTCTGAAAGTATTAGTGGTGCTCTTTTAATTGGTTCGTTAAAAATCGGTATTAGTGATGTACCGCTTTGTAAAATAACTTTATCAAATAACTTCTCATCATTGGATTGTAAATGTAGATCTACAGAAATTGCTCCAGCACTATGACCACCTAATGTAATGTTAGTATCGTTCCCACCAAATGCCTTAATATGTCTTTTAATCCATCTTAAAGCTAAAACCTGATCTTTTAAACCCTGATTACCGGGTACTTCAGGAGTATCCAAACACATGAAACCGTATGGGCCGCCTCTGTAGTTAATAGTAACTAAAATAATATCATGTTTAGCTAAAAACTTTGCACCGTATAGATATCTATCATAGTACCCATCTGTGAATCCTCCACCAAAAACATAAGCAAGCACAGGAAGCCGGTTTTTGGCAGATGCTGAATCTGGTACGAATATATTAAGTTTTAAACAGTTTAGTGAGCCAACTAAAGTGAGGTTGTATTCTTCTCTTTGTGGACAAGGAGCATAGTCATCGTATGCTTCAAAGGTATTCTCGAAACCTGGATGTGGAGTCGCCACCTGTAAAAGACAGAAAACGACTTTTAAATTTACATTTAAATGCGCAAATGAGAACGTTTAAAAAGTAATCAGCTTATTAAAAAGGAAAACACGTAAGTATCTGCCCACTTCATTAGTATACAGTGGTTCATTTCTCACTGGAGTGTTGCTACCATACACTTATTATGACAATGCTATTTGGTCGATAAATACCAATTTATTAAGTATACAGTGTTTCATTTCTCACTGGAGTGTTGCTACCATACACTTATTATGACAATGCTATTTGGTCGATAAATACCAATTGATTAAGGATGCGTGAAAATAGTAGGTACAAAAAGATTAGCAATTTTTAATGTTAATTTATTACAAAACATCAGGGATATCTTTTAATCGTTAATTTGCATCATTTTTGCAATAAACCTAGCACCTGTAGGTGTATTTTTGCATTTAACCTGTAGGTGCAGATATACATATTATTATCTGGTTCTATATATTATCTCGAGCGAGAATGACCGAGTATGCGCATTGTTTTATTATGCGCATGCTCGTTTTTATAGGACGCATTGTTCGCGCACGTGTTTACATACTGTTAGGTTAAGTGTTGAATTTTCTGGTTGTGTTTATAAAATACGATACTTCAGGTTATTTCTTAACACTAACCATCAAAACTTTAATTATAATCCATTAGAATCTAATTAAAATCAATCAATTTTTTTTATTAAGTGAGGTAGTTTGTATTTTTTATTTATTTTTAACATCTCACACTCGGTCATCTGATCACAAGTTGCGCAGTAGCTATATTTTGGTAACCACACTACTGATAAACATACGATGTTAATAAATACATAAATATTACAAAAAGTTCATCCAAAAACAGGTAATGTAAAAAAGTACTCACTCCGAAAGGATTGGAGGTGTTAACTTCTGCAAAAGGTACTCCAAGAAACATTGTGTAGTCACCATCGTCAGCTCTTAGACCTTTTATAAAGCCAATATCAGTTTCAACTAATAGATCTTTTATTTCGCTGTTAACTGTACAAACTAAAAATATTAAAATAACACATCTTTCTGCTAACATAATGTACACAACTATAAATGACTCTCCACGAAGTTTTACTTTGATTATATTTTAATTATCAGTTATTATAGGGTTATATGTAAACAGAGTCCACATAAGTAACCCGTTATCTGGAACTGTTATGTCAAAGTTCGTTTTGATATTTATTTATATTTGTTTGATATGACATTTAACAGTTTAATGTTATTTAGTAGGTAATTTAAAATTTGAGTTAATAATCTATTGAATGAACGTGCAACCCACACCAATAAGTCCGCCAAATATTATTTAAAGTAATGAAGTGTAAATCGTGCAAATTTTTCATTTTTTTTTTTTAGCTTTGTCTCATTCCGATTTTTTTTCTAGGAATCTGAATAGACTATATAAGGTTTTTAGTAGGAAAAAAAAACTGATTTGTAACAAATACACGTTGTAAACACAATTTCGGGCATTATTGATAGAGCTGTAGGAATATCTCGGAGAGTATCAGAATACAGTTTACAAATATATTGTTTTATTTTTATGGGACCAAAACTTTATTTCATAAACCCTTTTAAAAAAAAAGTTGAACCGACTTCAAACAACACCGACAAAGAGCACTAAAAATTAAAAAATAATTACAAATCTAAGTAAAAAGCTATAATAAGTACCCTCAATGTAACAGGTAACATTAGTTACAACAATACCAATAGTCCCTTCTAGTCTGTTAGAAGTCGGTGCCAAGCCAAATAGGTGCTTGATAGGCATGGTAGAATGTAGCGCGGCAGCTGCAACAGTCTTCATGCTGCGCAAAACATGTTGAATGAGCTAAAGTGGACGCACATCTCCAATTATATTATTATTTTGAATGCTTTAATAAGTAGTTGATAAGTTTGCGCACGTAATTTATCTGGTTGGTCTTTATTAATTAACAAAATCTTCGATGTTTCATTAGAATTATTTTGAATTCTTAGTTTTTCATTGTGCTAATATAAAGCTGACATAGACCAGTATTACTTATTGTGCATCGAGCTTGGCACCGACTTCAAACAGACTAGAAGGGACTATTGGTATTATAATGTTACCTGTTACATTGAGGGTACTTATTATAGTTTTTTACTTAGATTTGTAATTATTTTTAAATTTTTAGTGCTCTTTGTCGGTGTTGTTTGAAGTCGGTTCAACTTTTTTTTTAAAAGGGTTTATTTTACCATTTTTAGTGTAGGATATGTTTGTAATGAGTAGATAAGTACGATATTTAAAACACTACGTACCGTAATGTATAGTAACAAACTGTAGTTTGTTAGATTATATTAAATATTATATTAAATTACTGCTGGACATAGGCCTCTCCTTAGAAAGTTGACCCACACAAAATTTAAGAGTTTTTACCAGAACTATTTTAATAAATTAAGTATAAAATTACTTACAAACAAAATGCGATGCCATCCATAGCAACAAAACGTCTATCCGAATTATTTAAACAAGATAGAATACAAAATTTCAACCTTTTCTTCTTAATACAACGAAAATTACTGTGGGGACATAAATACTGCAAGTTCTCTGCGCATCACATCGCGCAGTCTCTGACGGTTGCCATGGTTTGTTTGGCTAAAGAAATACTCGTAGCTAAAACACGTTGTCGGGGCTGTCAAATTCCCAATAATTGTGAGGGTTTCCCTCGATTTCTTTAGGATTCCATCATCAGATCCTAAATTGGTTTTAATGGGACCAATTCGGGAGCATACCCTTTGGATTACAAAAATAATTTTGAAAATCGGTCCACAATTGACGGAGAAATCGCGAACAAACATACATAAAAAAACAATACAGACGAATTGAGAACCTCCTCTTTTGTGTTTTGGAAGTCAGTTAAAAAGACATACTACTTAACGAATTGGTAGGAATAAGTAAAATTGTCACATGTTTTCGATGCTCTACTAATCTCAAAAAACGTAAAGTGCCTTCAGAAGCGTATTGGAACAAAATGAACGTTACACATATACCAACAGAACTAGCTTGTTTGTCAGATGTCGAACAACGTTTACTTACACGAATGATCCCTTTTATTAAAATTATTAAAGTGCAAAATAGGTTCAGCCAGAATTGGAGTAAAAAGTGGTTTTATTTGCACAAGATGTTGTTGAAATTGCTGAGCAATTACCGTTACCTCTTACTAGTGCAGGATTGGTTATTGTTGTAGAAAAAAGAGAGAATTTGCAACAACAAAGACAGTCCTATTAAAATTTGCGTATAATTCATTTACGCCTCCAGGAGTTTAAAAACAATAATTTACTATTTGGTGGGGTAAATGTGTTGTTATTTGGCGATATCATGCAGTTACCACCAGTTAAAGGGCATTGGTGCTTCGAACAACCGCCGTGGTCAAACGCCGAAATACATTTATGGCAACAGTTTTGCGAACTTTTGCGAACTTACTATTAACATGCGTTAGAGTAGCGATGTGGAGTTTGTTGATATATTAAATAATTTGCGATTTGGTGAGCTCACAATCCCACTGCTACAAACTTTGTATGAAAAAAGACGATTTGAACAGGTTGGTGAATTCGCAGATGGTGTTGCAGTTAGAATTTTTCCAACCATCAAATTGGTAGAGGAATACAACTCCAATATGCCGGACCAACTAATTCAGTCAAGCCGCGTATACACCTTGTGTGCTATCGATGAGTCGCGAGAGGTAGCAAACTACGGAAAACGACCACCTTCAAACGTTATTCCTGCTGATGCGAACAACTGGTGGTTTGATGCACATATTAAAACTGGGCTTAGGCTCCCGAGTTATGTTGAGACGCAACATATCTGTAAGTGAGGGTCTGGTCAATGGGGGCAATGGGGATCGTGTCCAAGTTTAGATGGCCTGCCCTTCGCCGTGATCAAATGGAATCAGGCGAGTTACCCGATTCAGTTCTTATGAAATTTGATGACAGCACTATTGCCACTAAAGCAAAAGACACTGACGGGCTAGTTGCCATAGCCCCTGTATCAACAACTTATCAGGCAACTAAAGGCTACGGGGATGTGGAACGGAGAATGCTACCGCTAATCCTCAGTTGGGCAGTAACGGTGCATAAACTTCAGGGCACTACCCTAAACAAAGTCGTGATTAATTTAGGCAAAAAAGATTTTGCCAAATGTGTTATGATACATGCCTATAAAATTTGGTGGTCGCCCTCGATTTTCCTTTGATCCCATCATCAGATCCTGACTTCGTGACAATGGAACCACCTCAGGATTATGCTCTTTCTAACAAAAAAAGAATTTTGAAAATCGGTTCACAATTGACGAATAATCGATGAACATACATAAAAAAAAAAAAAAAAAATACAGTGGAACATAGAACCTCCTCCTTTTTTGAAGTCGGTTAAAAATATGGGCATCTTTGTATTACCTCTGTCTCCTTTGGAGTCGTAGGCGTGGAGGTTAATTCTGTATGTATGAATATTTTTATTGATTTACTCGTAAATCCATGAGTAATACCGATCCTATTTGTTGTACAACACGATGGGTTTTTCTTACATGTCTTGGAGATATTACGCTTATCTAACATTGATTGCTCTTCTCCGATAGTGTCTGATATATTTCATATAAAGATACAATTTAACAACGAAACTGAACAAACAATCATTCAAGTTTGAGAATTCAGTTAAACCAAACTAAAATGTGGTTACATAATTGTCTTGGTATGATATTTTTAGTTCATATAGTTAGTAGTGAAATCAGAATTGATCCTTTAGTTAATACTAACGTTGGTTTGATAAGAGGTTTAAGAGCTAACGATGGTGACTATTCGATGTTTCTTGGAATACCGTTTGCGAAAGTCGACGTCAACAATCCTTTTGGTGTGAGTACGAATTTTGTAATTTACTGTTTTCTTTCTCGTAGAATCTAATTATAGACAAGCCCTTAGAGATAGTGATAAATCATTGTTAGTGTTGTACTTCGCGTTGTGCGAACCATTTATAACATGTATGTATTTACAAAAAAAAGTATTTAAGTAAGTATTCTATCAGTAAATCTAGCACTAGCTCTGATTAGTTTTAAACTAGATATAACACACTACGTGTTAGATGGCCGAAATATTATTATTATTAGATTAGAATTTATGGTATAATCAATTAGTAAAACAGTCTGAAAGTAATATTCTGTTCTGTATTCATGACGTATTCCTCTTCCGTATTCTAAGCCATATCTGCTACTAAAATATAAAATCTAATCCTTGAATTAAAGATACTAATATTATAGTTTATAATCCATTTCCTGTTTTCCTGATAATGATGGCATTGTAATCATTTATATATTTAGGTCAAGTGATACGAATATAAATAATGACAACTAAAATCTGGCAATGTAAACAATAAAACATACATATTTATTACATTGTGTGCCATTTTTCATGAAATAAATTCAAATTAAACTTTATTCGAATGCGAGTTACAAAAGATTTTACATCATGGAAAAAATATGAAATGTATAAACTTGGCTTAGGTGGATGTTACTTCACCCTAGCAGAAGCAGGCCGGGGTGGCGGCGAGCGCGTTGCGAAGCGCGCTCGCTTCCAGGGAGCAGAGGGAACATGGGATTCCCACACGGGGAGGGTCGTCTACTTGTTGTAGATGGCCCGAGGTATGTCAGGGCACCAGGGACTTCCTTTCTAGGGTATACCTGGTTCCCCGGCTATTAGTACCCGAGACGGCGTGCGGTTTTAGTTGGTTCGAGTCCGATATGCAACCGATAGGTGGTATCCGAGGGGATTTCCGCACGGGAAAAAAAAAGGGTGGATTAGGTTACTGTTATGTATTATGCACAATTATGATATTTTAACTAAACTTTTTTAGGACTCTCTCAGTTAACTCAAAAAGGATTTGATGTTAGTTAAATAGTCTGGGAGAGTTGGTTTTTTAAACTAGTTTTAGATCCAGAATGTGTATCAATCACAACATTATATATATTTTTTAAAAGGATATGGAAGAAGCACTCTATACTTAAATTTCTTATAACTATATCAAGAAAATTACCAAAAGACCAAAATTTAAATGTTTTAGTGTGTTAGTAACATTATTTTTTGAAAAATTATAGGTCATAGCAACAAAATCATTTTATATGATAAAACCAAATAACACTTCGTTTACGTAAGCCGTTAGTAAAATTGTGAATACAAAATTAAAAATCTCAATTTGATTCTGATCTTGTCTTTTTAATCTAAAGTATTACAGTTTTAGCTAAAAATATAAATTCCTTTTTTGTTGTTCTCAGCCATCGACACCATACCCGGAGTTTGAGAGTACTTTTGAAGCATATGATGACTCTATAGCTTGCCCACAGCTTGAAGAATTCAATAACACCTTAATCGGATCTCTTGATTGTTTAAATCTTAATATCTTTGTACCATCATCTGCTACTTCTAATAACCTTCAACCAGTTCTTGTATGGATACATGGAGGAGCTTTCCAAATTGGCTTCAATAACAGATATTTGTATGGACCAAATTTTTTGGTCAAACACGACATCATTTTAGTCACTATTAATTATAGACTTGGACCTTACGGTTTTATGTGTTTAGATACTCCAGAAATACCAGGCAATCAAGGTTTAAAAGATCAAACTTTAGCCTTGAGGTGGATAAGAAACAATATTGGAGCGTTTGGCGGAGACTCAAATAAAATAACAATATTTGGTGAAAGTGCAGGTGCCATGTCTGTGGACCTACACTTACACTCAGATAATGAGAAATTATTTGACCAAGCTATACTTCAAAGTGGTACAGCCTTATCGCCAATTTTCTCAGAACCTCTCAGGAATGCACCAATCGTAATTTCAGAATACTTAGGATTGCCAACAAATAATTTAGAAGAAGCAATTGAGTTTTTAACGCAAGTAGATAGCCATTTAGTAATAGCTGCTGTCAATGCTTTACAAATAGCTGACGACTTCAGACCATGCATAGAAAAAGAAATGGATGGTGTTGAAAGTTTTATTACAGAAAATTGGATAACAGCAAGTTTACCAAAAGTTAAAAATATACCCATCCTAATTGGATTTAATAATGACGAATGGTATGGGTTTTATACCTCAGAACAAGATGAGTTTTACAAAGATTTGAACGTAGTTGAAGAATATATTTCAAAGGGTTTCGACGTCAGTGATGTAGATTTTGAAGTTATGGAAGACATGGTTCGTCATTTTTACTTTGGCGATGAACCAATGAGCGCAGCAGTCAGACAGGGTATAGTCGATTTTATAGCAGATTTTGTTTTTATTCACCCAACTCACAGAAGCATTAGAAAGTATTTAAACAATGATGTGGGGAATGTATATTTATATATGTTTACGTATGTTGGAGAAAGAAATTTTTTAAGAAAGAAGGATAATGTGACAACTGGCGCTGGTGCCTTGCACTGTGATGAAATAGGATACTTGTTTGATATATCTTACATGAAAGGGCTTCCAATAACTCCTGCTGATCAATTACTCATAGATCAAATCACCACCATGTGGACTAATTTCGTAAAATCCGGGTAAGTAACCTTAAAATTTTTTTAGACAACAGATAATTTCTAGAGAATGTTTAGTATAAAAATGTAATTTAATGTCTACAGCAATCCCATGTCTCAAAACTTGGATAACGTTTCGGTACAATGGACACCCATTACCAACACATTGGAACTACCTTACCTGAACATTGGTGCTGAACTGACACTTGACTCCAGACCTTTTAACCAACGAGCATCATTTTGGGATCTTTTTTACAAAGTGAACGAACACCTGCAAATAGTTTATCCTTCCGCTAAAGTGGAATTGTAATAAAGTACTGTGAAATAGACCCAGTTAAATATCAAATGTTCGTATTTTTTTTTAAACATTGACATCTTATGAACATATTTTTCCTTAATCTATATCTGTTTCAAAATCATATTTTAGAAGTTACCATTTTTTTGTTTCCTTTTAAATCTAAAATGTTATCTGATAACAATTCTTCCGATTATATTTTGGTGGCCATTTTATTTAATCCTTTATATTGGTGACTTATTTTCCCCTTCTACATTGGTGATTCATTTTGAGGTAATTACTTGAAGTTTGACACCCCATAGTCAGAAAGTACACACAAAATGGTACATAATAATTATATAGAGAGAGGTAAGACTAACTGATAATCACGACATACATTATATACCTATGGTGTATTGTAGCCCTGTTCACTAGCTATAGGATTAATTACTCCATGCAGACTGAAATATAAATCATCGGAGGATCAGTATTGCAAAATGGTATTGTGCGCACATTTTTAATAATTGAGAAAAGAAGGAAAAAAATAAAGAATGCGGAAGGATAATGACCGATAAATCTGACGTCCAACCTTTTTACAGGCTTTATATTAGCTTCACTTGTATGTTTGTTTGTATGTTTGTAACCGACTCCTTTGGGCGTGAGTTTGACTGACTTTAAACGGTCAGAATTAGTTTAAACTTAATAGATATATCGAGGACCGATTAAAATACACTAATTCGGATTCGACTGCACGGATGGCGCAGTGGTTTAAGCGGTCGCCACGGCGCTTCCTACTGCGCCGAGTGTTGTGGGTTCAAACCCCACATGGGACGACACTTTGTGTGATCCACAAATTGTTGTTCTAAGTCTGGGTGTTCTTTGTGTCCGTTTCATGTATGTTTGTAAAGTCCCCCGCGACACAGGATATATTCCTAATGCGGGAGTTGTCTTTTTTTAATTAAAAAAAATAATTAAAAAAAATATAGTTTTAAAAAACTAAAAAACACGCTTTCAAAATAAATTTAAAAAAAGCTTTTTACTATTGACAACATGCACCCAACGCTTTTTAAATTTATTTTCTATTTTTAGTTTGGTTTTCTATAGAAAGCGTGTTTTTTAGTTTTTTAAAACTATTTTTTTTCTTATATTTTACACTATTACTATTTACTAGTAGACTGTACCCCGTACGCTTGTAATAAAAATTTGGCCAAAAATCTGATCTACTCTCGATCTAATATAAGTCATAAAAAGTATTTTCGAAGTAAAGTATTAAACATCCAACGTTGACTACAATTTAATATATCATATTGTGACCGAATGTTGAATTGGTAATTTGCTAGTCTTAGTACATGATCTACTACGAAAATACCTTTCTTGAAATTTGTGAGTTTGAGAGTAGATTGGAACTGAAATTTGAACGAATTTTTATTACAAGAATGGATTCCCTTTTTTTTTCTGAACGGAAATCCCCTCAGATACCGGTGGCAATGTCGGACTCGAACCGACTAAAACCGCACGCCGTCTCAGGTACCAGTAGTCGGGAACCAGGTGTACCCTAGAAAGGAAATCCCTGGTGCAAGAATGGATCCCTCGCATTGAAGAATAAAACTAACGCCAAAAAGCTAGTTAAATATCATGTCAAAATTTCAGTTCAGTTATCTCAATGATCACCTAACTTTAGAGTTACGTAGATTGAAAATGTTACATTTTCGGCAAACACTGTTTCGGTAAATTCGGCAAACCATGGAAAAGGCGCATCTTATTGTACATCACCATCATCATCAACAGCCTTTAATAGTCCACTGCTGGACATAGGCCTCTCCCTAGAAAGGAGGCTTTGACCTACTATACCACGCTGGCCAGACGGGTTAGTATAGTTTGGTTTGTGTCAAGTTTTCCTTCTTTTTGCAGTGCTGGTGTCCTGTGTTGTTTTGCGCCCTTAGTCGGCTCTTACGAAACCCACGGGATGAATTGGGGTAGTGACAATCCGTATTCTTAATCCGTCACTACACGGATTACAATACAATACTACTTGTTGTGCAATAAACATTAAAAAAAAAAAGTAAGCGACATAGATAAAACTTATTTTTGATGTTTGATACTTTATGACTGAATCTAATCTATTTACTAAGACGATATTTTAGATTAGAATTTATCCGATAGTTGACCTGGATTTCAATGATTGCTAACAATCATATCACAACAAAATAACAAAAATATTTAGCATTTATCAGCGACTCTGATCTTTCCTACAGTAGTTACTATAATATAATAAAATAACAAATAATAACAACAATAACAAAAAATAATAATTGCAGAATAAGAATAAGGTGTCGGTTACATTTTGTATATAATTTACATATTATTGTCATTAGATTCTTTTATAAAGTTTATTACTAAAGCTAACATAAAACTCGTATTTGTCTATTTTAAAATATGCAAGAGTGAATTCAAAATATTACATTTTTTTTGTAATCGGCATGAGCTAGTTATGTAACCTGTTCGGGGAGGACCTGAAATAACATGGTTCGGGTCCTTCCCAGAGTAGGACACCTGAGGCCGACCGTCAGGGTGGTTTTTGGTGGAATCACCACATACTCCTGGTTCCTGAGTCCCCGAGGAGCAGGCGATCCGAAGGGATTTTCCACCCAGCCAACAAAAAAAGGTGTTTGACCTGTTTCTCAGGAAGTCGCTTGACTATGATGTTAAATACAGGACGTTAATATTTTAAAGTTCTAATAGATTAATAATGTAAATAACGTGAGACTGATTTGTATACACAAATATAATACATTACTAATCGTTTAACAATTCATTGTGATTGATTGAATTTTGATTTGACTTGATTTTTACTTATCACAGCTAAATACCTATAGCATGTTCATGAGTAATTTGGATACTAGTGAGTACCGCTTTATCATTAGCACTTCCTTCAAACACTTTTATATTTCCTTTTGAACCGACTTCAAAAAGGAGGAGGTTATCAATTCGGATGTTTATATATTTTTTAATAACTACGTCATATATAGACAGATTTTCAAATTATTTTATTGTTCGAAAAGGGTTTATTACGAAATGGTCCCATTTAAATTTCATATAGATCTTATGATGAGTTTCGGAGACAGACAACGGAACTCCTCAAAAAATGGCAGCAAATCAACCGCGATTTCGGCTAGGTTTTTAGTGTTGTTTGAAGTCGGTTCAACTTTTTTCTAAAGGGATTTGATGTGCTGATGTCTAATCTATGAGGTCATGGTAGTAAACAGTGATAGTGATGACATCATGCTTGATCAAGTAGCTAGGTTTATATTACTTACTGTTTCTAGATACGAACCATTATCTGATCATGTTACCATAACATTGTAGGTAAGTACCAGAAAAATATGCGCAAAATGAAGGCTTACACCTGCTTTTTATGACTCATATTTCATTTATCAATTCGCTTACAGATAATAATATAAGATTTCGTACATCTAACACACAACGCCATCTAGTTTCAAACTAAGTAGAGCTAGTACTTTGAAAGCTAGATTGACTGATAGTATACGTATATACTTTTTTTTTGTAAATACATACATATTATACATAGAAAGCAGACAAACTCCGAAAATAAATAAATTGTAGAGCATACAAATATTTAGTTCGACCCGGGAATCGAACCCGAGACCGAACAGCAGGCTTATCAAAAAGGTAGTATTCACATACCTACAAGTTTTCTTATATTTTTCTTATTAACTTTCAATCTTTTTAAATACTGTTTTTATTATATAAGTTCAAGCTATCTCTAAAATAAAGTTTAATTATCTGTTAGGAACGGAAATTCAAATCAAGTTTAGATTTTCTGAGTTGCCTTGTGTAAGTAAATAATTGTTTGACAGTTCAAGTTAAACAATTGTATATGTATTATTTATTTAAGTAGCAAACATATTTGTAGCTGAAATCAAGAAACTGTGTTTTAAATTTTAATATGTCTCCTGCGAAAGAAATAATTCTTGCTATTATATTTTTTTGCTATTATATTTTGATAGGCGCCAGCTGTTAGTAAAAAGCGTTTTTTTTCATTTGTATATAATTATATAATCACCCACATCAGTCACCAGGATGTGGTTTACATTTTAAATCTATGTAATTGTGAGTTTGTCAGTGATACAAATTCAGTGATTCCTGACATTGACAAGTCCAAACTTCCATACTTATAATATAAATGTAAAAGTATTTTTTTTTGACAGCACGGATGGGGTACTGGTTTAAGCGGTCTCCACGCCGCTTCATATTACGCTGTCTGTTGTGTGTTCGATCCTTATATAGGACAGCACTTTGAATGATCCACAAATTGTTGTTCTGAATCTGGGTGTTCTTTGTGTGCGTTTTATGCATGTTTGTAAAGTCGCCCGCGACACAGGATAGTTGGAGGAGAACAGGAGTTGTCTTTAAAAAAAAAGATACTGTGGAAGCCGAGTTGCGGGCAAAAGCTAGTAAAGAATAAAATGGTAAGAATAAAAAATATTCGTCAAATTTTGTATTTATTTCTTATGTTACTTACCAATGTTATAAAATTTATACACAAAATGGTACTTCATTTTCAAAAGCTGACATATCGAAATTGCACCCTCACCCTTCCATTATCCCTATAATCTACAATCAGTTCTGTCTGCTCAACCAACAATGTTGGAAAATATTGACCGAAATAAGTGCGGAATAATTATAGTTATAGCATGAAATGACAAAAATATCTTTGTTTTTGCAAATAACAGTTTTAACTCTAGTCGCCGTAGATTCCTGTGCTTTTGAAAATCTTGAAAACAATGTAGTACATCATTAAATCCTTGGTTTGAACTATCGATTTAGTTATTAATGCTAATTATCATATTGAGAACTGTTGATACTTAAATAGTATAGCTATTTATTTATTTATAACTTGGAGGAACTAAAGCTTTGACAAATTTGCTTAACGTAGAGGATTTGCAACAGTAAGCCAATTACTGATTTCTAAGTTTAGTTCAGTACATAGTTAATTTAAATTTTGAGCAGCTTAAAACACGCCTACATAGTTAAGTACATGGTTATAATACTTGAAAAACATTAAGCGCTGTTTGTTACAAAATAACAAGTGTAGGTATTAAGTTGAATTAAAAATACATAAGAACAACAAAAACCAAAACAAGGTAATTATTGAAATATTATTATGCCAAAAATCCACCATTTTGTTTTTTATTTTATTTTGATATACCCAGTGTCACTGTCACAGTAAATACGAATCTAAAGACATCTCTCAAGCTAAAATCCATGGAGCCCGTTAAGGCCGCAGAGCGTGCCAACAAACAATTATACATACATATACACATACAAGCTCCCAAAAAACATAACCCTAATTCTGGCGCAGTCGGGTAAATAAGGCATAAAAGTTATGTTAACTTTCATCTTCCTATCAAAAGTAGGCAATCAGAAGTTTAATGGAAATGTTATGGTATTGACTGATCAAGATCAAAAAAAATCTCTCCCATGAAATTTTAATGAATAACATTGTCAATATGGTTTGGACTCTTTTTTTATGCGCTTTAAGAAAATAAATTAAATTAGCTATTGATAATAGTAATCTTAATTTATCTGTATATTGAACTCTCGAGTAGGTAAATAGTCTGAATATTATGTTTGTGTAAATCGTAACTGACATACAAAGGGCAATTAATGACGACAACAATACTCTTTGCTAATTTTTATTTACAAACATTACATATTCCGTCATTTTTTTAATTCTTGTTAATCATCCTCGTAGCTTGTTTGAGACAGCTTTTTGTGATCATAGAAAAGATCCCAAAATGCCATTCGTCGATGTAGTGGTCGTTTTCCAAGGGCCAGCTTAGTGTCGATATTTAGGTATATATAAGTGTTTTTTGTAACTGGTTCCCAGAGGACTGGAAGGACTTCGTTGATGACCGGAGTTGGGTTACTAAAACATCAAAAGGTTCTTTTAAACTTTTTTAATTCACGCTAAGAATATATAAATAATAATTTCATCATCATCATCATCAACAGCCATTACTAGTCCACTGCTGGACATAGGCCTCTCCTTAGAAAGGAGGTTTTGGCCTACTAAACCACGCTGGCCATACGAGTTGGTATAGGGTTTGTGTCAAGATTTCCTTCTCTCTGCAGTGCTGTTGTCCTGCGTATTTTGCTCCCTTAGTCGCCTCTTACTACACCCACGGGATGAATAGGGGTGGTGACACTCTGTATTCTTAATCCGTCACCACACGGATGATGAATAAGTTTAATTTAAATAATATTTTAACCGTACCTGTATTTAGCAAAATTAGTCCACATCCTTGTCATGCGTTGCATGGTCAATGTGTCAGCTTCAGTAAGAGCAGGTTTATTCTGTATACTGAATAAATAATCAAGATCATCATTATGAGAGGCACAACACAAACGGCTAGAATCCAGTTCATCGTAACTACTAGTTACGACTGTGTTCCTGCTACCAACATACGAGAACATGTAAAAATAAATGGGTCCTGCTCCGTTTTCTAAATACTTTTTCAAAGTTCTATGAATTGGATGTATATATGTGAAATCAGAAGCAAAACGAATAATATCCCATTTCACATTACTACCGATCTTTTCATCACCAAAGTAAAAATGTGCAATTATATCTTTTGAATCCCTTATTTTCTCTTTATCAAAGACTTGAGCCAAACTTTTGTTCAAAATAGACAAATTATTGAAATATTTTTCATCCTGTGTATAAAGCGGCGCCATTTCAAGATTAGTGAAACCTATTATAATAGACATGTTCTTAACTTTAGGCACTTTAGCATCAATCCAAGAGTTTTCTATAAAAGGCTCGACATCATCAAATAGAGTTTCTACGCAAGGTTTAAATTGTATATTTAGTTTGGCCGCAGCATTGATAACCAAATTAGTTTTAACGGTTGAAAGATACGACACGGCTTTTTCAATATCATCAGTTTCTAAACCAATGTACCTAGCCATCTTCAGTGGCGCTAATTTATCAGGGTCATGCAGAACTGTTAATGCTTGAGCACTTCCACTCTGTAATATAATGTTATTAAACAACGTTTCCCTAGTTGACATTAAATGGAAGTCAATTGAATGTCCTCCTGCGCCCTGACCAAATAAAGTTATTTCATCAGGGTTACCTCCAAATGCTTCAATATTGTCTTTTACCCACTTTATTGCCAGGTATTGATCCCTAAGACCTTGATTGCCAGGAACTTCAGGTATGTCAAGACACATGAAACCATAAGGTCCTGTTCGGTAGTTGATAGTTACTACTATGACATCCTGTTGAACAAGATAGCTTGGTCCAAATCTGTTTCTACTAGAAGAACCGTACTGGAAGAAATCTCCATAGATCCACACCATTACAGGGAGTAAAAAATCCGATGAATTTACTGATGTAGGTACATAAACGTTAAGACGTAGGCAATCGATCACACCAACTGTATTGTTTTCTTGGTTTATTTGAGGACACATCGCTGAATCGTCGTAGGCTTCAAATAAATCATTAATAATGTAGGGAATTGCAAGCTAAAAAGTGATTGATAAGTTAAAATATGTTTTAATTTAAATGTATAATAATTTATGATTAGTTATTATTAGTTAGCAAAGGACTGCAAGAATAACACCATTCTGCATTTAAGTCATTATTTACTTCATATATTTAAGGGCAGGGTTGAATTAACGTCTTTATTGCTAACTTTATTGCTTTATAGTCAAATAATTATAATTTAAATAAAAAATAAGTTACTTACTCCAAAGTAGTTACTTTCGTCAACTTTTGCGTATGGTATACCCAAATACATATAATATTCTCCATCGGGTGCTTTTAATCCTTTTATTGTTCCTTCACCAACATCGATAATTACATTTTTATTATGCAAAGATGTATCATTTTGAAGAATTAAGAAAATACAACAACTTGAATTAATTGCATTTAACATAGTTATAATGGCAATTTTAATTATATCGACAATTTAAGTCTGGTTCTAGCGAAATCCAAGCTGCTTCTAAAATTGTAAACTGATCTACAAATGGTTTGCGTGTCTGTGGATATCAAACTTTTGGTTTATTAAAATAAATATTATATATTAGTAAATTCGAAAGTTATAGTAATTTGAAAACATTCATTTTTTATCTAGGTAATCATAACTCATAAAGTACTAAGTAACTAGTTTAGAATTTTTATAAATTGCTAAGTGCTTTCGGAAGTAACAAACTTGTATACATGATATATCCTGGCATAGTTGAATAATATGTAACATTCAGTAGTTATTGGTTTTGAGTCGGGGTATATTATATTAAAATAAATATAATGTACCCCGATAAACAACACACGGTACATTTCTTTTAAAAACTTTTTAAATATTTTTAACAATAATCTTATTTATAAAATTCTCGTGTCACAATGTTAGTTACCATACTCCTCCGAAACCGCTGGACCGATTTTTCTGAAATTTTGTGTGCACATCGGGTAGGTCTGAGAATCGGACAACATCTATTTTTCATACCCAAAGACAAGGGTGACCCACCCCTATTTTTTATTTCAATATATATTTAAAACAACGTTTGCCGGGTCAGCTATTTGTAATATTTGCTATTAATGGTAAAAGTAAATTTACAGAAGTTATAAATGTGAAAGTGAGTGTGTTCATTTATTACATTGTCACGCCTAAACCACTAAACTGATTTCAAAAATTATTTACTCAATGGAAAGCTACATTATCAGAGAGTAACATAGCCTACTTTTTACTGCAGTAACCAACATACACGCATCAGTCAACACAAAACTTTGAGTATCTTAGTCTGTTTATTGTTTACCTTTTACTAGTTTATTTGTTCTACTGTGTGAATGTTTTGTTTTATAAATAATGTTTCTTATTATTCTATAAATAAATCAACTGAGTAGTTTAATAACATATATCACATACAACTAGCTTATATATATATTCCCCGTGTATTCGCCAGCGTTATTTTAAATGGTGTCAAGACGAAAGGCCGATTGAATATTTTTTGAAGTGAAATCTTCTCCAGGCGCGTTGGGCATTTTTGAACAACAAACAAAAAATGTCGTTTTTGAGATGGGAAAAAACCATTGAACTCGCGACACTGTTATCGTTACCGACACCTCTGTATATAAGTATCTACATATATTGGCCCCATTTACACGAGAGTTGAGTTTGGGTTAAAATACATTCATAATTTAACTATATATAATATAAACTTATATTGTGTATATACGTACAACATACGTACAGATGTACTTGTGGAATCCAAAAAGAAACTTTTAATAATAAAAAATAAAATAAATTCATGTTTTCACTTCTGTCGGCACTGCCGGAGTGCCACTGTTTTTTTTATGGGAAAGGGGGCAAACAAGCAGACGGATAAACTGATGGTAAGTGACTACCACCGATTGACACCTGGAACACCAGAGTTACAATTTCGTTGAAGCCCTTTGAGCTTTTTGGGTCGAGGTTTGTATTTTGAGGGTATTTTTAAATTCTTCTCGAAATATAATTTTACTGTCGATTATACTGTTTGCACATTGGCTATCTTTGTAAGGTATTTAAAACTGCTATTATTCATAGGAAATAATTATCAGAACGCAGCTAAGAAGATTTATCTTTATTATGTCCGGGAGCGATATTGTTCGAGATCATTTTGCTTAAGAGCAGGTTGTCGTCTAAGAAAATAAGAAGATGTCTGGATGAGGGCGATTCATATTCATAATGTCTTAGAGGATAATTAGTTTTCATTATTCACGCGCCTTGATTTTGGTAGTCATTTCGTAGTGTGTAGGTAGGTTGGCTGAATAGAATATGTGGTATGTTTTTAATGCGAGCCGAAATTTGAAATTCAGAAGACCGAAGACCCAGTGACAGGTACTTTACATTTCACAGGTACGCGACCTTCGCTTGCTTGAGCTGTTGGTTTACGCCGTGGCCCAGATATACGTTCGTATATCTGTAAGAATAAAAAGACTACGAGAAATAAAAGAATAAGAATAGGAAGACGAAAAAGACTCGTATGACTGTCTTTTGCTTCTTTTAATTGCCAATATACTTGCTTGACTACATTAGGTTTGTCTGCTATTATATGTCCAATAAGCCGGCTCTACATACTCTGACGATACAGGTGTCAGAGTATGTGTCGTGGAAGAACTATCCCTCAGTACAAATGGACCAGCTCGACCGGAGTAAAATCATGGCTTCACGGATAACCGGTGACTCTGAGTTGCAGGTGTCAATGGCCCGCGGTTTCTACCATACCATAGAAAATGTACATTAGTATTAAAATTCATCAACATCATCAACAGCCTATACTAGTCCACTGCTGGACATAGGCCTCTCCTTAGAAAGGAGGTTTTGGCCTACTATACCACGCTGGCCAGACGGGTTGGTATAGGGTTTGTTTCAAGTTTTCCTTCTCTTTGCAGTGCTGTTGTCCTGCTTAGTTTGCTCCCTTAGTCGGCTCTTACGACACCCACGGGATGAATTGGGGTGGTGACAATTTGTATTCTTAATCCGTCACCACACGGACTTACGGTATTAAAATTACTATTCATTATAAATTAAGTCTAGTTTAGTATATGTTATAAATATTTTACTGATCTGATAGTATCTGATATTTAACTTATTTTCCTTGCCATTTGTTGCTACTCTTAACGAAAGCGTGCAATGCTGGTGTGCTAGTAATCATATCATGGGGATAGATATTTTGGCATATTAAAGAGTGGTGGAAATTTTCAGTCGGTATTAGTCCTTCAATATCTTGAAGCATTCGTCATCTAATTATGTTGTATTATTTCTTTTAAAAAACAATCATGATAAAGTATGCAATTGTGAAGTCTGGCTGTTGCGGTTATCGCACTTAATGGCTAAACGCCAGAGACTACAGTGCTATAGTTAGGAGACCACAGTATTATTATTTTAAAATAATTAAAGACTATTTGTATGGTTTTCGAGTTCAATAGTATAATAATAAATAAATAAATTGATTAATCTACACAATGTTAGTCGTCACTCTATTAATTTTATTTACGTCGAAATTTCAATACCACAAACACTGTTTTTTTTTTAATACTAGCTGACCCGGCAAACGTTGTATTGCAAAACAAAAAAAAAATTAGGGATGGGTCACCCTTACCATTTAGGGGTATGAAAAACAGATGTTGGCCGATTCTCAGACCTACCCGATGTGCACACAAAATTTCATGAAAATCGGTCAAGCCGTTTCGGAGGAGTACGGGAACGAACATGACACGAGAATTTTATACTCGTATATAAGATTTAACTAGCCCACCCGCGCAACGTCGTCTGCTTCTCTGTAAGTTACTAAATTTTACCCGTATTCTCAACATTTTTCATTGATAATCAGCTCCTATTGGTCATAGCATGATGTTATATAACCAATATCCTTTCTCTTTACAGGGATATACAACACTCCCGACTACTGGTTCCCCGACTACTGGTACCTGAGACGGCAGTATTCCATTAAACATCAAGTAATTACCATCGGTAGCTCGTACACCTTTTATTAAACCAATATAAGTACTAACTTAATTTTTTTTATGTTAGAGGGGGCAGACGAGCAGACGGGTCACCTGATGGAAAATGACCATCGCTGCCCATGAACATTTGCAACTCAGGAGTCACAAACGCGAGCCTTTTAGGAGGGAGTACGCTCTTTTCTTGAAGGTTTAATGGTCATATCTGTCCGGAAATATCGTAGACGACAACCCGTTCCATAGATTGGTTGTGCGGGTCAAAGAGGGGCTCGAAAAGCGCACAGTAGTGGAGTGTCAACTATCCAGGTGATGAGGGTGAAAATTTTGAAAACGATGGCGGAAAGTAAACTGATTGCTTTACTGATTCATTCTTGTTTGTCCAACTATAAGATGGAATAAAAATAATAACATATCACTTTTTCCTGAAGACATTTCAGTTAAGTTTATTATTTAAACTAAGTAATCTCGAGGCCGTCAATCTTTAATAGTATCTTCTTCAGTAATTATAACGTTGATCATCATCATTATCATCAACCGCCTATACTAGTCCACTGCTGCACATAGGCCTCTCCTTAGAAAGGAGGTTTTGGCGTACTATACCACGCTGGCCAGACGGGTTTGGTATAGGGTTTGTTTCAAGTTTTCCTTCTCTTTGCAGTGCTGTTGTCCTGCTTAGTTTGATCCCTTAGTCGGCTCTTACGACACCCACGGGATGAATTGGGGTGGTGACAATTTGTATTCTTAATCCGTCACCACACGAATTATAACCTTAGCAAAGATAAATTTCAGCAGAAATTAGAGGAAATTGCTGATGTACAAATCAGTGTGTATTTGTACCTATTAGTAGTCATTTTTGGCAAACATTTTTTAGTTATATATACTTACTAAGAGTATCTAATAACTTATTTTTATTTCCTTGTACCAGATTTTGTGTTTCTTGCTCGTCCCCGATTATGTTAAAAATGTGAACTCAAAGGAACCTGTAAGCTTGTTAGCTCTGCTTTAGGTCAAAATCCTTTTGATACTGGACTTCCAACTGTGCTGTATTATAAACTTCAGATCAGATCAGATCAGCTATAGAAAAGTATTATTTTTTTAACTTCCATAGTCTTGAAAGTTGGAATAAAACAGTTGTAAGGGTCATTCTACTCGAATGATTTTTAATACTGTGAAATTGATATTTATTAAAACAATCCTAGATTGATGTCGGCTTCTTCTGACACAAACTGACGTAGTGGACGACGACCGGATAACGTTGTGGTTTGTATAACGGGCTGCTATTCCAAAGGTCGCGGGTTGGATTCCCGCTCAAGGCAAACATTTATGTGCATGAACATTTAATGTTGATGATGATGATGATTTTTCATGATTTTAAATGTGGACTTAAAACAGAGGAGTAATTTAATCGACTTCAAATGGCATTGACGGATAAAG